CTCACAGGCAAGGCACAGCACAAATGACAGGCACTGTGTGTTCCCTAGGCTCATCCAAACATGGAACTGCCTGTGTGTATTCTTAGACTGAGATAGTGTAGGAGTAAAAATGAATTCATTAATAATGCAAGGTGAACAGTTTGGGGAGGGAGGAATGTTATAACTGCTGGTAGAGAGGTATTTTTTTGTGCGTGTGTGTGTTCAAGTCTTATCTGTAGAAGGCAGTATGAGGAAATTTTTAAGGAAACCCAGAAACTGTTTAATTGTTCTGTTGCCACACTATATTGTCTAGGCATAATAAAAGGAACATGAGCCCCATGTCTCTAATTTGATACCCTCAGAAAGTTCCTCATTCTCTTCTTGCCGAAGGAAGACATCTATTCTCCTTTTATATTTGCTCCAAAACTAATGCAATTCTTGGGATTTAATCCAGCTTCCATAGAGGTTAGTGGGAAATTCTTAATGGATTTCACTGGGATACAGTGATTATTTATTTACTTATTTCTTGTCAGATTAGGTCATTACAAATATATCCTTCATTCTTAAGGAAGTGGCATGGGAGAAAGTAAAAGGATTTCACTTCCATGAAATCCCTCAGTATGTTTCAAATCTAAAATGAGGTAAGGAAAAAAAACAAAGGAAAAATGGCCCAAAAGAGTTAGCACATTTTTTTTAAACTCCTGCAAGTATATCCCACATACAAAGTCCAGATTGTCACCATAAATATCTCACAAATGAAGTATCTTACAGTGCCAATCCATAAACTTCCAGTAGCAACTACCCAAGATTTTTGTCAGAGAGTCCCAACCATTCCTGAACGTGGTGGAAATCTTCTGGTACAACACCGCTATGTAGAACACTGGTTGCCAGCAGCATGTCTTTGCTCTCACTCCTACTTGTCCTAAACATTAGTGAAGCTGTCCTAGCACTGGCAAAGCATTGGTAAGAAATACCTTCAAAGAAAAGCTTAACGCATTAAGCTTTTGGATGTCAGTGTTTTTTAATTGTGTTCCCACATTGTATGAGTAAATTGTGCTAAAAGTTTTCCAGGAAGATTTTGGCTTAAGCTCCCATTGCTTCAGATGCCTTAGGGACAAGCCTCAGAATAGAACTGGCTATGTATAACTTGATGGTGACAAAATACTAAGCATTCGGGGAGCAGCATGCTGTTTTCAGTCCTCTGCACACTGAGGCAATCTGTTTGCTTTAAATGTTCTGCAGACCTTCTTCTTTCCAATAAAGCAATCAAAATAAAGCCAGTAGCAGCAGGCAGTGTGGTATGCTGACGTTGCTCCCTGCTTTGAATTCCTAGCTCAGTGGGTAGAACAAGGCTGTGCACCAACAGCTGAGCCACCTCAAGTCGATATGGCTTTATCCCACCTTAGGCTCCCACCATAGGCTGCTTGTGGTTCCAACAAGATGAAGTGGTGCTCCATCTGTTCCCAAACACACATTTGGACCAATAGGACTAAAAATACAGAAACCAAAAAGGAAGCAATCACATGGTGGACATAAAACACTAAAGCACATACTGAGTTTCCGAAATTACATGTCCTTATATTCTCGAGGGCACAGCTCTATTTATCTCTATTTATGTATCATTGCCATTTACTGCTCAGCTGTGGATTGTTTGAGGAAAAGAGAGTTTCTATGAGATAATTCAGCACACAAATCCTTGGAATGTCTTCCTAGATGTATAAATAGGCAGTACATTATATTTGGTAGCTCCCTGCTGCTGTTCTACACATTTTCACTGTAATTTTTTTTTTTTTTTTTTTACTGATTTATGCACACTGTAATCAGTCTCTCTGTCAGGGATCTTTAAAGTGGAAAGCAATTCATCAACATTTTGCTTGACTTTTTGGAATGCTGAAAAAGTAAGTTATATGAACTACCAGGGGATAGCCTGACAAACTGTTGAAATTGTTCAGGTAGTGTATGTGATTTGCTCATGAGCAGAATCTATGCCGGTGTATTTTTTTAATAGAAATAACTGTTCTAGAACAAATAGTTGAAATCTACTCAGGTGAATAAAAAAACTGCTTTTTGAGAGATGGCTGGAGTTGCTGTAAATTTCAATGTGAGTTTAATATCTGAAGAAGCTCCAAGATCTCCCAGTGTGGAACCTGAATTACATTTAATATGCATATAAAGCCTCAATTTTTTTAAAGTTTGCCCACCAGCGTTATCACATGGTGCCTAATTTTTTCTTTGCAATTGCTCAGAGGACACCAAACTCTATTCCAGGACATGATTATGCCCATTAGCATACTTCCAATACATTTCAGCACCAGTGTTGGCTGCTCTAGTAAAGAGGCAGACACTCTGTGGCCCGACCTCACTAGAAGGAGGTCGTTATGGGGGAAATGAAACATAGGCATTCTTAGGCTTCCTACACAGCCCCAGCTTCCTGCACTGCTCCTGCTGCCAAGCAGGTGCTGAAGGCACAGGTGCAAAATACACCCAGTGGGCACCCACCCATACCTATGAATCTGCTCAGAAGGACATATTTGGATAACCTTTCAGGTTACAGCTTACTAATTAAGTCATAAGAGTGAATCCTTTTTTTTTTTTTTTTTTTCCCCCAGCATAAGTCCCAATGATTTAGAGCCCCTTATTCCAGAATGTTTACTTTTCTCTTTGGATATTACAGGATCATACTTTAGGTCAGATATCCCAGTGCTCTGATAAGTTAGAAAGCAATGCTGGTACAAATGACATCCAAGGGAAATTTCCCATGTTTCCCCTAGTTTTGTGAGGAAAGAAAATAAATTAAGGTCAAATGTAGACTTAGGAAGGGAAAGAGAATGGTTGATTAAATATTCCTTTGTCAGTTTTGTGCCATAGGGGAGAAAAGGCAGTCACTCAATACCCAGAGGAAATATACTTTCAGAGAATATTTGAACAATCATCTTGCAGAACTTTTTGCTACCGTATATTTCTTAAGGCATTAAACTGGAAAAATTGTATTCTGACTGCCTGCAGTAGCTGTGATTTCTATTATGTGAATTGGGTGATTGGATAGCCCCATTTTCACAGCTAATTCTCTCAACCACATAAATGTGAAAATCTGATATTCCTTTAAGGCAGTTTTCATTATTCTATTAGCTTTCTTTTCAGATCAAGTTTTTTTTCTCTCTCTTTTTTAATTTCCTATTCAAATTAATAAGGTTTTCTTACCTTGCTTCAAGCTGTGAATGCTGTGTAAATCTTAGTTTTTGTCATAAAAAGATAAAGTCTCAGATTTGTAAGTTCCTGTAAGTTTTTGTTGTCCTTTATTAGACTGCAGAGAAACCACACAGCAGAGAGTTGGTGAACATCTCACCTGCCAGAAAAACTTTGTTCATTTGACTTTTTTATCAGACCATATAGAGAAAAAAACATAAGAAACTAGAATTTATTAGCTCTGGCAAACCTGGAATTTCATACTAATATTTTACTGTTAGTATATCTTAGTCACATTTCAACTTACAAGTATGCTTTTGTCCTTTTGTAGTTCTGTCACCACAAAAGACCGAGATTTCACTTCCCATTGCACACCGGAGACCAGAATTCAGAATGGATATTGTCATCCATTTGCATCTCAGGAAGACATTTTCCTGCCAAATATTATGGGCAACATCCATGTAATCTGATATCTTGGTTTAATTACACATACAGCATTGATGATTGCATGTACCTATAACTTTCAGTTATTAACTATGTCCATAAACATTTTGTTTTCATTCCCTCAGCACCTGTGAAGAACTTTTCACTTCTACAGAGATGTTCACTCACCATTCACTTGTACTCTGTCTCCAGCGTCATTTGCTGCATCAGTGGTCTTGCTCAGTTCAGGAAAATAAGACATGTTCAGGTCTGCCCCACACAAAAAGCCATGCCCTGCCATGGCAAACTGTGGCAGTGCAGCTGGACAGGCAAGCCACAACTGTGCTTCACCCAAGCAGGAACCAGTGAGGCTGATGGCACAAAAATAAAAAGCTGCATAACCTCACACATACATTTTTCTACTGTGGGGATGGTGTTTAAGTTTTTTGATGGATTGTCACATATATCCTGCCTCTGGCTTCGAGCTTTCTAAAATTCTCCGAGCTCTATAAGCAGTCCTAAGGATTCTTATTTTCAGGAAAGCTCAGCATGTTTTTCCCCTACATCATCTAGTTCTATTGTGAAACCCCAACTCTTTTGACCAGTGCTATGGACACAGAATAAATGCCTGTACTTAATGATAGTACTGTTACAGATTTCAGTAGCAAGCAGAAAGATGGTGCTTCAGGACACAACATTACTGTGCATATAGGAAAAAATATAGGAAAAGCAGTTGCTTTTCCTTTTTTGTCAACATGAATGTCCTGCTCAAAATAAATGTCAGTCTCTGGTGGCTTGAGACTGAAAGTTATTCCAAAGTAATGTGGCAGGTTGGAAAAAGGTCAAAACTACCAGCAATCTGTGAGTTGATGTAACTTGCTGCCTATTGTGTAAAGGAGGAAAGGAGGTATGTCTTAATGGAATGGCTAACTGCTCAGCCAAGCTGAGCAAGCAGGCTTTTAGTACCACCCATCCACCTGCCAAGTAGGATTCTGTTTTTAAATGTCTAGCTGCAGCAAATAACAAAACCAGCAGCAAGGGAAAAGGTATATTGCAATTTATTAGTGTAACTGAGCATGAACCTTCCTGATACTAAGTGGGGGGAAAATAAATAAATAAATAAAGACCCAGACACTCAAAATACTGTGTTACAAAGCTATAAACACACAAACACATGGTAAAAACCTGGTCTTACTGAAGATGGGGGCACATTTCCCACAGTAGATGGGAAGGATCCCTTCCTTTGACCTGGAACCCAGAATCCCATTGGCCTTCTTGGCCACCAAGGCACACTGCTGGCTCATGGCCAACCTGTGGTTCACCAGGAACCCCAGGTCCTTTCCCACAGAGCTTCTCATGTCCAGCAGGTCAAATCCCAACCTGTACTGATACTTGTGGTTATTCCTTCACAGGTGCAAGACTCTACAGTTGCTCTTCTTAAACCTCATCTGGTTTCTTACTGCCCAGCTCTCCAGTCTGTCCAGGTCTTGCTGAATAGCAGCACAACCTCTGGCATATCAACCACTTCTCCCAGCTTTGTATCAGCGTAATTGCTCACAGTGGATGCTACTCCCTCATCAAGGTCATCAATGAAGATACTGAACAAGACTGGACCCAGCACCGACACCTGAGGAACACCACTAGTTACAGGTCTCCAACCGGACTCTGCACTGCTGATTGCCACCCTCTGAGCTCATCAGCCAGTTCTCAACCCACCTTGCTATCCATTCATCTTTCCCACACTTTCTTAGCTTTGTTATGAGGATGTCACGGGGGACATTATCAAAAGCCTTGCTGAAGTCAAGGTAGACCACATCTATTGCTCTCCCCCTATCTACCCAGCTGGTGATGACATCATAGAAGACTACAAGGTTGATCAAGCACGATTTTCCCTTTGTGAGTCCATGCTGACCATTCCTGATGACCTTCTTCTCTTCCGATTGCTTGGAGATGCCATCCAGAACAAGCTGTTACATCACCTTTCCAGGGAAAGAGGTGAGAATGACTGGCCTGTAGTTCCCCGGATTCTTCTTCTGGCCCTTTCTGAAGACTGTAGTGACACTGGCTATCCTCCAGTCTTCAGGCACCTTTCCTGTACTCCAACACCTGTCCAAGATGATAGAGAGTGGTTCGGCAATCACCTCTGCCAGCTCCCTCAGCACATATGGGTGTATGAAATCAGGTCCCGTGGCTTTGTGCACACTGATGCTCCACATTTCACAGAGAGAACAGAAGTCTCTTTAGAGGTACAAAATGTACCTGACACCAGATACAGCATCAAAATATATATTTTAAAGCTAGAAACAGAATTATTGTGAAAGTATTAGTAATTTCTTTGCATGCTCCTTTGGCCAGAAAAAAAAAAAAAAAGAAGAAAAGGGAAGGTATGAGAAGGGAGGAAGGGAAGGGAGGAAGGGAGGAAGGGAGGAAAGGAATTTTTTCCAGAATGAGAAGGAAAACACTTGAGCATAGTCAGCACTACCAATGGTGTAAATCTGTAAAAGTCTCCATTTCATCAGTAAGACACTTGGGAATATTAATACTAATGGTGAGAAAAAGTAGATGTTGAAGAGGATTCCAGGGGGTTCGCTCTCATCCCCTGACCTTTCTGCCAAATTTCACAGCAGCATCTCTCAGCAAAGCCTGCTTTCCACAGTGCCTAAAGGAATGACCTTTAATGTCCCTGGTAAAACCAGTAAAACTCATATTTTTATACATAGGAAAACAAAGTTAAACTCGAGAGCTCCTGAAATAACAATACAAAAAATTAAATTGCAGCATTATTTATTATTTATATCACAATAGCAAGTAGAGAAGCCAATCTAATAGGAAATTGCTTAAAGCCAGGCAATGACAGCATGAACATAACATGCACCTTAAACAGACCGGGAGCAGAGGGTGAGAGAGGAAACAAAGAAGGAAGTTAAATAATTACAGCTTTCCAGGACCATATAAATGCCTACAAAGAAAATTCAAGGAAGTTATATAAAGTGTGTTACAAACCCAATTATCAGCCCTGGTTCTTGCACAGACAATAACTGTAAAAAAATTTTTATGGTATTGCATTTCTGTCAGGAAAAAAAAAAAAGAGCAGTGAATGAAGACATTGCACAGAGATTTGACTGCAGGCTTAGAAAGAAGCAACAAAATCACTGCCACTATTTACTGAAGCTCCTTTCTGACAGAGGAAGTGCTGAAATGGAATAGATCTGCAAAAATTCCCTTTGAATTTACAATTGGTGAGCTGCTTTTGTTTAAAAATCTTATTTTTACATCACAGAAAAGCTCTGGGGTACTCTGCCAGATTCAGGTCTTTACATGTTAAGTGAGAAGTGATTGAGCTGATAAAACACATGCTCATTTCCACTCTCACCTTCCCGGTGAGTGTAAATGTGCCTCACTCTGCTAACAGAGTACCTGAGCTTGTGCATCAAGTGTATCTTCTGTGAGTGTAAGTGAGAAAGAAAGCACCGCTGCCTATAAAGCTACGAAGCATGTGGCATGAGCCTTCGTGTCGACAGGACATATGGACGGGCTTGCATGCCAAATCTGTGTGAATTTGGAGGATTTGCAGGGACTTCCAGGGGGGAAAAATAAAAAAAAAAAAAAAAAAATCTGGAGGAATAAAGGTCTTCCCTTATTCTGGCTTGTTTGTGGTGAAGGACTGGGGATATCCACTATGGGTAAGTGGAGATCCCCATGGAGATCACAGTAGCTTTCTTTTACAGTAGCAGACCAAAGGCTAAACTTGCTCCTTGCCCCTGCACCACCTGTCAGAGCTGTTCTTGAGTCTGGCTCTTAATGTTTGGACTGATCTTCAGTGCTGGCTGTGAACAGACCATTGCAGACTCTGGCTGAATGAACAGAGCTTAACGTGTTGCCTCTCAGAAGTTGAGCTGCATTAGGGGCCCCTAACTCCTTGCTTGCAGAAAACAGCAATAGAAAAGACTTCTGCACAGACTGCCACAAGAATGCACAGGGTTGGCACAGGTCAGCAGCATGGGCCTAGCCAGCTGCAGCAGCTCCATATATTGCTGACCCCACTGCTTGTAGCTGCCGTCCAAACCTTCTTAGGACAGCCATGGCAATTCCAGAAATAGAGGAACACCATGATGTTTGTGGGTGTTACATCCACACACTGTAGCTTGGTCACAGCTAACATGTTCAATTTATTGTTTATTTAAAACAGAGAACAATGCATTGCTAGATTTGGAATTATTAAACTTCGGTTTTTTCCTTTTAAAAAGCAACCATTCTATTGCAAACATAATCAAAGCAAGCAATGGTGGATTTCTCTTTGTTTGGAATGCTAACTGCCAAGCATTCTGGCACACAGGGTGGGAAGAATATCATTTATCACAAAAGGTTCATTCAGATATAGAGTTATTTCTGCCCTGATAAATTTCATTCTTTGGCATGAGGCCCCGAGGAAGCGGGAGGGGGAAAACTAGATTCTGAAAGATAAACTTCCCTTCTAACTTTAGATATGGAAGAGATAATTTTAAAAAGTCATCAGTAATGGGAAAGAAATGCAGAGAACAGTCACTCTTTGCTCAGAAAGACACAAGACAAGTATTTAGAAAGTGAAGATTTTATGGCTGTGTATATGTGTGGCTGTATATATGCAGTCTGGCCCACGACTGTCCCCTGACATCTTCCTGGCACAGTGTAGATGGACTTCACATGGTGCTGCTGCACACATCTTGGAGACATTGGGTGCTCACTACTTTGTGCTACCAGGACCAGCAAGACGCTCTGGGCACACGGCAGGGAAGATGCCCAAGACTATGAGCATTATCAGAACTGCCTAAAACAGAGAATGATGAATGTATACATCAGTGGTGCTCCCAGTGTGGGCAGTTCTCCACAGGAAGAATTCCTGTATAAGCAGGTTTTGTCCAATATCCTGCAGTGTCCTTCTGATTTATGCACTTCAGCACAAAGCCTGGCCAATAAGATCTGGACATTCTCACTTAAATCAAGTGCACAGTGTGGAAGCAACACACGGCACAGCATTCTTCATTACGCTTTTTGAATATACACTACCAAGACAGGATAAAATTCTGCAGAAGGTTTTTTGTACAAATATGTCTAGTTATAACATTTCTATTTAGATATTCAGCTTTCTGCATAAGTTGCTTCTCAAAAGATCTTATGTCAGCATGTCCTCTTCATTATTTCTTCAATACTACCTTGACTTCTTGACTACTAGGAGTCAAGAACTGAGAAACTGAGCTAATGAAAGAAAAGGAACTTGTGTCTAGAATGACTGGGACTGCATCCAAACTCAGGATTGTTTTGCGTGACTTACCTAGTAGTCTTCTATGATGGTATTAAATGCATCAATAGACAAGAAGTGAGCCACTGATATAATCTGTTTGGACTCCAGTAAGGTCTTTGACATGGTCTCCCATAACATCCTTTTCTATAAATTGGAAAGATATGGATTTTTTGGGTGAACTCTTTGATGAACAGGAACTGTTTTCAAGGCTGTATCCACAGAATTGTCTTAATGGCTCAGTATCTGGATGGAGATCAGTGACAAGTTATGTGCTTCAGTACAAGGTCAGTACAGGGAGAGACATTCTTTAGTATCTTATATCATATCTTAATATCAGTGACATCGACAGCGGGGTCAAGAGCACCCACAGCAAGTCTTCTGTGGATGACATCAAGCTGTGTGGTGCTTGATGACATGCCTGAGAGATGGGATGTAATCAAGAGAGACCAAGGCAGGCTTGAGCAGTGGGCCCAGGAGAGCCTCATGAGGTTCAACAAATCCTGGCGAAAGGTCTTGTACCGGGCTGTAGCAACCTCTGCTATCAGTACAATCCCAGACAAGAAGATTGAGCATAGCCATTGAAAAGGACTTTATGGTACTGGTGAGTGGAAGCTAGATGTGAGCCAGCAACGTGCCCTTACAGCCCAGAAAGCCAACTGTACCCTGTGCTTCATCAAAACAAGCATCGCCAGCAGGTTGAGGGAGGTGGTCTTGCCCCTCTGCTCTGCACTGGTGAGATCTCACCTGGAGTACTGTGTGCAAACGTGAGTCTTCACTACTGGAGAGACATGGACCTGTTGGAGCATGTTCAGAGGAGGGTCACAAAAATGACTGAAGGGTAGAATACCCCCCCCTAAGAGAACAGACTAAGAGAGCAGGGGTTGTTCAGCCTGAAGGGGAAAAGTTTCCAGGGAGACCAGAGAGTTGCCTTTCAGTATCTAAAGGGTGGCTGTAAAAGGGATCAGACTATTTAGCAGTGTCTGTTGTGATAGGACAAGGGAAAATGGTTTCAAACTAAAAGAGAGGAGATTTAGAGTAGATATAATGAAAAAAGGTTTTTAAAGTGATGTTAGTGAAACACTGGAACAGGTTGCCCAGAGAGGTGGTGGATGCTCTGTCCCTACAGACATCCAAGATCAGGCTGGACCAGGCTTTGAGCAATCTCTCAGAGCTGTGAGTGTCCCTGTTCATTGCAGGGAGGTTGGACTATGTGACTTTGGGACTCCCTTCCAACTCAATTGTATGATTCTATGATTCCATGATTTGGTTTCTGGTTTTACTATGCACTATCTGTACGACATAAGGCAAGTTATAGTGTTTTTTTATGCAGTCCATTAAGAATAAAGAGAAGTTTAAAACCAATGCTAATAAGGGCTGCAGCAGCACTTTTCAAGAACCGGATAATATTCACGATCTAAATAGATGCATGAAAAATGCTGCTGGTGTGGCTGATACATACTTGAGTTTGGAAGAGAATAACTTTTATTTTTATTTATTGATTTATACAATTTTAAGACAATGCACGGTCCTAGCAAGTGCTATGGAGAGCACTCTGCTCAAGATTCCTGATGCCATAACAGCTACTTGGGATCGGCAAACCAGTCACTGCTTCACCACCCACTCTGCCGTCGGTAAAATGGTGAAGGTCATCAGCAAAACACGGGGCCCGCTGCTGTGAACGGTCTTGGGTCTAGCTCAGAGCCTTCTGCCGCGCTCTACACTCCCCTCTCCTGGAGCTATGATCCGACCGCGTCAGATCTCGATAGCTGCTTTCCCACGGCCTCTGCAAGGACAGCGCACTCCCGCTGATGACTAAGCAAGCAACCAACCCCTCACAGCTGCACAGCAGGTGAGGCGATCCCCGCGGCGCGCCGGGAGGGGTCCGGAGCTAGGCCTGCAGGCTGCGGCAGGGACCTTCCCTCTGGCCACGGCGGGGGCCGTGCTGCCCGCAGCTCTAATACCTTATAGAAGCACCGCGTGGGGCGGGCGGCAACAGCTCGCCGGCCGGCACGACGCAGCACGGCCCTGCCCTGCTGCCCGCCGGCGACTCAAGGCCCTGCTGCGCTCCGAGAGGGAAGGGCCGGCAGGGGTCGCTGCGGGGCCGGGCACGTTCCCTCCCGGCGCCGGCGGTGCTTTGGAAGCGCTCTGGCGGCGGCGGCGGAGAGGGGAGCGGGCGGCGGCAGCAGCCGCCGTCGCTACCGCCCGGCCTCCTTTGTCCCCTCCCTCCCAGCGCCGAGCCGAAACCGACGGGGAGCTGGCCGCCCGGGGATCCGCTCCCCTCGCCACAGCAGCGCTGTCGAGGTCGCCATCTTCACCTCCATCCACCCCGCCCCGGAGCCTCCCGGCCGGGCTCGCAACGCCGCGCCCCACCGCGCAGGGAGGGCGCTCGGCCGGGAGCGCGGGAGGGGGCCCGCACCCGCTGCATGTGACTGCCCGGCCGCGTCGGACACCCCGCCGATCGCGCCCGCATCCTCCTTGCAGTCGCCCCGCAACGCGGGGAGAGGCGCGGGACGCCCTGCGGAGGGGTACGGAGGTTCCGAGGCGCAGCGGGCAGACAAAGGAGAGGGCGCCGCCGTGGGCAGCGGTGAGTGACGTCGCGGGGGTCCGCAGAGCCCGAGCACCCGGTGCCACGGGAAGCGGCGAGCAGGGAAGGGAAAGACCGGGCCGGGCCGAGCGCGGGTACCGATACCTGGCGGCGGGAGGGACCGCTCCCTGCCCGCGCGCTGGCGCTGCAGCGGGGCCGGAAGCGATGCTCGGCCGGCGGGCTGCGGGCAGGGCGAAGCGCGCTGCTCTCTGTCGTGTTATCGGGCAGGTGCCTCGGCGGGCGGGTGCGCGGATGCGGGCCTTGGGCCCGGCCTGCGGGGGGCGGGAGCGGGCGGGCGACAGCGGGCGTGGGGTGACCTCAGGGTGGTGCTGTGGATGGGCTCCCCGAGGGCCGCGAGCTTGCCGCTGGTGCAGCTCGGTAGCACGTCCCCGAAAAGGCGGCCGTGTGGCAGCGGAGGTGCGCTTGTCCGCTGAGGGGGGACGGGGGTTCGACTTCTGCTGACCGCATCTAACCGTGTGCTTCTGCCAAAATCTTGCTGTTACAGAGAGAAGAACATAAGGTCCTGGGACTTTTTGCTCTGAAGTTGATATGATTGAAACTGTAAGTCCGCTCATTCTGTTCTTAAGTTTGGATGGGTGAATGGATGGATGGAGGAATTATTTAATCTCTGTCTCACATTTTTTTTTTTCCTACAAAAAACTTCAGGTGCAAATTAAATGAAATCCTAAACAGATTTCTCGTAGCTATTGCAACACATCTTTACAGTACTGTGATAACAGGATGCAAAACTAAGTGGTTGTAAACCTCGGATGTACTGTTTGGTAAAGCCGGAGGTTCTGTTTTTGAGGTTTTTTTTGTTTGGTGCTGAGTCTTATTTAATCCTGAAGGACAAATGGCTGCTACTGAATCTCAGTTCAGCAGTAAGGGAGCCCTTGTAGCTGTAACACTGACGTGCTTCCTTATATTTAACTGAATAAATCGGGGCTATGTGTGAGGAATAACCACATTTTAAGGAATGTTTAGTCAGTGCCATTTGCTTAGGTAATCTGATTAATGATAGCTCAGTACAGATACAGGGATGTTTCTGAAAGGTATCTTTCATATTGGTGACATAGTCACAATTTTGAAAGACAAAATAACTTACAGAGATTAGTTTTTTTAAGGTTAAAAGGGGCTATTGTCAGTGAAATTGTAGGGAATGTTCAAGCAAATAGTGAACTAAGTAGAAGCTCAAGTAAGCAAAGAAGTCATGCACTGTGTATAAATTCTAATTTGCACATAGATTTGTTTACCAGTATATACATCACTGGTCTTCAAACTTAATTTCACCTTAAAATCTGAATATGGTTGACTGAACACCTAAACATGTTTTGCTAATGTAGAAAATGTTTTCAACACAATTTCTGCTTTGAGGAAAGGAGGCTCTTATTACCATAGAAGATCAATTATTCTGTGTTCAAGACTCTTCCTTGTGGAGTTTCTGAGTATCTAGACCAAAGATGTTTAGGTCTGAGAAAAACTGTGTTGTATGGTCTATGAAGTGTCCTAATCCATTTCTACACAAGATGATGAAAACTGAAACTGTTGGCAGGTGCATTTTGTTATCGAGAAATGCTGCGGCTCTATCACGTATTATCTTTTATTGAAAGCTGTAAAGCTGTAAAGCTGACCTTATACAGTTTACCTGTGCTGTAATACAACCACACAAATTACTTTGAAGAATCCTGGTAGTTCTGACCCTATAAAACATGTAAGGAGTTCTGTGATGGCTTGCAGTGTGTGGCCATCTAAGGGAAAGCCTGTGGAGGGGGTGGCTTATCATGATTGAAAAAAGAGAAATGAAAATGTTTCAAACATCCTGTCATGGTTTCTGCTGTCAAAAAAAAAAAAAAAAAAAAAAAAAAAGTTGGGCTGCTTTAGAAATGGAAATGGAGAAAAAAAAATGCAGTTTATGTTCTAAGTGACTTTCTGAATGTTTTTTCTTTTTTATTGTTACTTTTCTTCCTAGCCATCAGAGCATTCATTGCAGTGATTAGAATACTACTAAAGCAGTGTCAAGAAATTGGATTATGTCCTATGGAAATATTGCAGTAAACAAGAAATATTAGATGTTCACGCTTAACATTTCTCCCTGGTGTATGATCAACACTGTTCTGCTTTTCTAGAAGTAGTGGTTCATGGTAGTTAAGTAGTTTGTTAACCAGAAGTTCCTTGGTAGTCTAGCACCTGGTAACCTGAACAAGCCTTTTGGAGCTTGCCCAAACCCTTTAGATGTTGGTACCAGACTTTTTGACCGTCAGACGTGGAGTGTGTGTGTGTGTGTGTGTGTGTGTAAGGGTGTCTCTTTTTTCAGTAAGATTTCTTGCTGGCAGTGCAATACACTATCACATAAATAAAAATGACTTTTTTTACACTGTTGACATATAAATAATAAGGAGAATATTTCATTATGGAGTGTGTAATTGAGGTGATAGTTTCTTGGAGCTGAAGAATTTTTTTGAAGTTAAGAATAGTGAAGTGATATTTCATTTGTTTAATGTGATCATAGACCAACCCTTAGGCATGAAATGTAAAGCTGAATTAAATTACTCAATGATGTAACAAACTGCTTCCCAAAAGTATCTTTCTTTCAAGTCTTTTTTTTTTTGAAGGAGGGTAACTTAGCTTGTTGTGAAGAGGCAGACTGTACATAAGCCTGGTGCGCTACATGCCTAAAAAAATCTCTTGTCAATCTGCTTTACACATACAGTAAAGACTCACTGTAACTCTGGGTTCTGGTCAGTGTCACCTGAGCACTTGGTTATAACTTGGTTATAATCCAAATACTCCTGACCTTTTACCTCCTTTGAGTGATCCCTTGGCTGTTCAAATTAGTTTTTGGTTTCTTAGTTGCAGCTTGTGACTACACTTGGGAACTTGAGTGTAGGAGCTGAGTAGAAATTTCACATCAGATATATTAGTTCAACACATGTTTTTAGTAGGTAGGGTTCTATCTAACACTAAAAAGTGTTGCTTGACATAAACACATGCCTGAACAGCCCACTTATCTTTGGTTGCCTCCCTAGCTCTGGATATCTGTTTCTCATGCTTTGCCTCTCTGTATGTACAGATATGAGAAAATGGGTAGTCAGTAGCATGGTCCTTCCTACAACCTTGCTAGTACCTTCCTCTGTCATGTTAATGAAAAAGTGTTTGCTAGTAACTACAAGTAACTGCCCATCTTGAATACTGGTCTCATTATGTCTCCCAGTAGTAGCATTTTTCTGCAAAGCACGTAACTGAGATGTGTGAAAATGCTCACTAGTTCTGATGCCTTAGGTGCAAAGAAAAGCATTCTTGTTTTTGCTCAAGGTTTGTGGGGAATTTGCTGCTATGTACTCCATTTATGCGGTTGGTACATATGTGCCCATTTTCTAATGCAATTTTATCAATTCTTAAAGCACACTTTAGCAGGATTAGTATTATGGTGGATTTTTTAGTATTACAGCTGTTTTGCTATTTTCCTCTTGGAACAGACATGCTATAGAGGCTAAGTGTATATGATGATGACTACACAAGTAAATACTTTGTTGTTGTTGTTCAAGAGCAAACATTTGAATGGATTTGATATAAACTTGGGAGTGGAAAAGAAAAGGGGGGATGAAAAGAGAAGTGTTTTTGTAAAGCATTCTGGATGAAAAAAGGAGCAAATTTCAAGCATCTCATAATCATTTGAAGATTTGATATTTTGATGGTGCAAGACAGTCTTGCATTATTAGCGTTTCTTTTTTTTTTTTCACTGCATTACTACTGATGATGTCAGGAAATAATGATAAATTTAAGGCAAAGCAACCTGAAACAAATGAAAGTGGGTAAGAGAAAAGTCAAACAGTTGCACTGAACATGTTGAAGTTTTCAAGTTCATGCTGCACTTAATGAGTAGAATGAAGAGAATGAAGAGGAAAATTAACAATGAGAATGCTGGCTGGTTTTGACAGACAGTGTTTTAGAAAAAAGAAAAAAAGAACAAGATGAATGATTCTGGAGAGTGCTGTGTGAGAATCTTCTCAGTGCTTGTTGCATAGCTGGGTGTTATAATGTTTGAGGACCCTTTCGGTCTCTTTTTACTTCTGTGTGTTGTGTGCAGTTGTTGTTGAATTTTTCACATCAGCTTTTTACTCTGGTGATAACTACTGTCCTACTCAAGTTTAACCTGGCAGGTACATTAGTACTAGACAGTCATTCTCAGTGCGCCAGGGGAGAGTATCGAAGGAAAAAAGAAATAGAATTCATAGGCTGAGATGAAAGCTGTTTACTAAGAAAGAAGAGAGAAATAAGCATGTTATTATTATTATTATTAGAAAACAAGTGATGCACAGCACAATTGCACACTACCCACCCAACAATGTCCAACCAATTCCTGAGCAGCAGCTGCAGCCTCAGAACTGCTCTCAGTTTTATAGTTTTTTTTTCACACAATGTCATATGATATGGAATTGTAAAACCATAGAATCATTATGCTTGGAAAAGATTGTTAAGATTACCCAGTCCCAGTCCAACTGCCAGTCCATCCTCACTATGCCCACTAAACTATGTCACTCACTTCCAGATTCACGTATTTCTTCAACACCTCCAGGGACAGTGACTCCACCCACTCTTTGGGCAGTCTACTCCAATGCCTGAGCACTCCTTCTGAGAATAGATTTTTCCTAATACCCAAGCTGAACCTTCCCTGGTGCAAATTAAAGCCATTTCCTCTTGTCTTGTCACTGTTGTATGGGAGAGGAGGCTGACTGCAACCTCACCACATCCTCCTTTCATGCAGTTTCAGAGAGCTATGAGGTCATCTCTAAGCCGCCTTTTCTGAGACTAAACAATCCTGGTTCCCTCAGCCACTGCCCATAAGACTTGTGCTCCAGACCCTTTACCAGTTCCATTGTCCTTCTCTGGATATGCTCCGAGGCTTTGATGTCTTTCTTGCAGTGAGGGGCCCAAAACTGAACACAGTATTTGAGATGTAGCCTCAACAGTGTGCCAATATGTATGCATGGCTCTCACAGAGGGGTGGTCACCTCCCTGCTCCTACTGCCAGTGCTATTTCTAATACAATCCAGGGTGCCATTGGCCTTCTTGGCCACCTGGGCACACTTCTTGCTCATTTTCAGCTAGCTGTCAGATCCTTTTCCACCAAGCAGTTTGCCAGTCACCCTGCCACAAGCCTGTAGTGCTGCATGGGGTTGTTGTGACCCCATGTGACACACAGGATCTGACATTTGATCTTGTTAAAGCTTATACAGTTGACTCAGCTCTTTCATCTATTCCATCCAGATGCTCTGAAGGACCTTCCTACCCTTGAGCTGATCAACACCTCCTCCCAACTTAATGTGACCTCCAAATTCTCTGAGGGTGTACTCAATTCTCTCATCTAGGCCATCAGTAAAGATTAAACAGGGTCCCAGGAATTTCTTTTATCACTATTGTTTTACTTTCACCTTTTGGAACGGGATTGTTTTCCTCTTGTAGTCATCAGGTGAATTTGAAGAACGCTTACTTAAACACTGTGCAAAAGCAGAACTTTCATAAATTGGTTTTCTCACAAAAACAGTTGTAATTAAACATTG